GCCCTCGAACTACGGACAGTGCGGCCTCCTCCTCTTCCACCTCGCGCTCTCACTCCTTCTTATCCAGAAGACCTGCGACGAGCACCAGCACTTCCAACATCCCACCCGCAGCCACGATGGCATCCACACTGTCCGGCGGAAGCTCAACGATGATGTATCAGCCTAACGTGACTTGCATCGAGGATGCTCACGCCGCTCATCACAGGCAGAGCAGAACATCCGACATCAGTCATTCTCGGTCCGTCTCCTCCACCTCTTCTACCTCGCCCAACTCCACCACTCGATTCTCCAAAGCTAGTCGATTCGTTCATGGTCTGCAGACTTTTGTCGGTGGACTGGCGATGAGTCAACCTCGATTCGGTTCCGCGTCTGCCCTTCCGACATCTCAGACATCCATCTTCTCTTCCAACATGTCCGGCGCAACCTCCCCAGCAGCTTCGTCGCCAACTACGAGCGGGTCTGGACCGTCGAGCGTCATTTCCAACGAGTATGCTCATCAGCTTGGCCTCGCACCGCCGCTTCAAGCGCATCAAAAAGCTGCTGCGTCGTACCACCCAGAAGATGTCCGCAAGGCGCCAGCTGGCGTCTCACCGGGATGGCACGTCGGCGGGGTGGAGAATGGTATGCAAGCATGGGCCGCGACGCCGCTCAAGGACGACGATGGATGGTCTCCCTTGCAAAGTCTCATGGCTCAGAGAGCGGCCGAGCAAGCTTCTTTCGAAGCAGCAGCAACTGGCCATTCTGCGCCTAATGAAGGTCAAGCGATGAGTGCACCTCACAATGAAAGCATTTTGGAAGAGACGCCGCGCACAAGCATGAGCGTGGATGATGCGGATTGGAGATTGCACGCGCGGAGCGATAGTCACAGTCATCTCAACACTTTGCCGCCTCTACGCAATCTCGGAGCCAGCGCTGCTACTTGCGCTACCGGCAGCTCGGCTCACGCACAGGCTGGTCGCGCTCAGCCCGAAGAAGGTTACGCAGCTTTGGCCAGCCCAGCACCTTTGCTTCAGCACGCCCAGGACATGGAGCGCGAGGCATCTATGAGATCCTTCGCCACAGACTCTAGCAACGATAGCGTTGCCATCGAGGGCGAATACATTCGAAAGGCTTGCCAAAATGCCACTCAAACATCCAAGCATCCTCAACAGCAACAACACGCACAGCAGACGCGGCCGCATGCAGTTGCACACCACCACCAGCAGCAGCAGCACCGCTGGCCGGTCGCTAGCCGACCAGCTCCGCCTCCACCCATTGCACCGACTTCACCGTCCCACTCCCACACGCCCTTTTCTCCCGTTTTTCAACAGAGACCCCAGTACTCGTTGGAGGATTTCGAGATGATCGAGACGCTCGGAACGGGCACCTTTGGGCGCGTCATGCTCGTTCGGCTTCGACACGCTCATCCTAGCCGACCTGAAGCCTACTTTGCCATGAAAGTGCTGGCCAAGACGGAAGTGGTGCGGTTGAAGCAGGTGGAGCACATCATCTCGGAGCGAGCGATACTGAGCCAAGTGAACCATCCGTTCGTGGTCAACTTGTTCTGCACCTTTCAAGATTCGAAGAATTGCTACATGCTCATGGAGTACGTCATTGGTGGCGAGATCTTTTCGCACTTGCGAAGAGCTGGCAAGTTCTCGCCGGACGTGACTAGATTCTACATTGCTACGCTCGTGCTCGCCATCGATCATCTTCACCAACAAAAGATCATCTACCGCGATCTTAAACCGGAAAATTTGTTGCTGGACTCGCGCGGATACACCAAGATCACCGACTTTGGCTTTGCGAAGCGCGTCGACGGGAGGACGTGGACGCTGTGCGGTACGCCAGAATACCTTGCTCCAGAGATCATCGAGAGCAAAGGGCACAGCGCAGCTGTGGACTGGTGGGCTCTGGGCATTCTCATGTACGAGATGCTGGCCGGATTCCCGCCCTTCTTCGATAATCATCCGTTTGGGACGTACGAAAAGATTTTGAAAGCGCCGCTCGTCTTTCCTTCGCACATCGATGCGGTGTCTCGCGATCTGATTCGGCAGTTGCTGAATCGGGACGTATCGAAGCGACTGGGGAATCTGCGAGGAGGCGCAGAGGATGTCAAGAACCACTTTTGGTTCCACGGAGTGGACTGGAGCGCGCTCGAGGCGGGCCAGTTGCAAGCTCCCATCATACCTAGGAGGAGCAAGGTGGGATCGACGGAAAATTTCAGCAAGTACCCGCCGCCCAATCCGGACTCTATGCCGGGCCTTCGAGGCAAGGAAGCGGATAAGGCTGACCTTGACAAGGATCCCTTGGCGCACCTCTTTACCGCTTTTTGAAAATGCCTTTTTTGATCCCGGACCGACCCGCGCTCTTTTGGGATACTCGAAATGGACATTTGCATGAACCCTACTGCCGGCCGGAAGCAGATGGTCATCCTTCCGCGCTGCCCGTTCGTTTGAGAGTCCCCCCC